GGGTGTGGGGGGTGGGGGGGAGCGCTCGTGGGCCGCTCGCCCACCGGTTGCCGCCTGCCTACTGCGCATGTGCATGTAATGTACATGCGTGCATGCTGGGGGTCGGTGCATGCATGCTGGAACCAGCCAAGGTGCTGACCGGGCGCGGGCCCTGTGGCGTGCAGGGATCGGCGATGTGGCGGCCATGTATGCTTTGGGCGAGCGCAAGGAGCAGCGTGCAAAGCAGATTGCCAGCAGCGAGGCGGCGGTGCTGGCCGCCGCGGCGGCGCAGGCCGGGCAGCCCAGTGGGCCGGCAGCAGCGGGCGGCGCAGCGGCGGTGGCAGCAGTGGCTGGAGCTGCCGCTGCTGGCGCGGACCAGGCGCAGCCTGCGGCTGCGCCAGGGCACCCACCCCTGCAGCAGCAGCAGCAGCAGCCGGAGCAGCAGCAGGCGGCGTTGCCGCTCCAGGCCACTGCACGGCCCGCCCCGCAGCTCAGTCCGGCCGAGGCCTTTGCAGCGCTGGCTGTGGCGCAGGCCGTGCAGAAGTTTGCCTCCCCTGCCAAGCAAGGCGAGGGTGGCAGCCGGCTGCCCAGTGCGGCCCCAAGCCCGTGCCTGGCTCCCACAACCTCGCAGCAGGCGGCGGTGGCTGCCGCGGCCGCCGCCGCCGCGCAGGCGGCACTAGCGGACGCGGCGGCCGGCACGGCGGCGCCGCCGCCGCCCGCCCAGCCGCCAGCGCCGCCCCTGGTGTGCAAGATCAGCGACGAGGAGTGTGTGGCCCGCGCTGTGGGCTTTGGGGCGGACGAGCGGGCGATGCAGGAGGTGCTGGCTTCCAGCAAGAACAGCAAGTACTCGTCTGCCTATGCCCGGGTGAGGAGGGAGGGAGGCGGTGCGGCCCGGCCGCCTGCTGCCCCTGCTGGCAGGGCGAGGCGAGGACTGTGCTGATGCCTGGCGCTGCGCCGGGTTGGCCTGTGCACGGCTGCAGGCGCTGATGCTTGCGGGGCCCGAGGGGCTGACGACGGCAGAGGTGGCACGCCAAGCGGTGGAGCTGGGCTGGGAGGCGTGGGAGGTGGACAAGGCCAGAGCGTGAGTCCCCCTCTGGCGGGCTGCTGGCCTGCCCTGCACACGGCTTGCTGCCTATGCCTGCGCTGTGGGCCCTGTGCTGTGGGCCCGCCTGCCAGTGCGCCAGCGCGCGTGCTCTCCACGCAGCTGCGGCCCCCGACGGCCAGCCTTGTGCCACTGCTCCCTTCCCCGCGCCCTGCAGCCAGCTGAACCGCGCCACCCAGCGGCCCTTCATTGCCCACCTCGGCAACAAGCGCTTTGCACTGCTGGGCATGCCCGGCGTGCAGGACGTGGCGAGGCCCACCAAAGGTGCGGTGGGGTGGCGGTGTGCGTGTGTGTGTGTGTGTGTGTGTGTGTGGTGTGTGTGTATGTCATGATGCAGCTCTGCAGGGCGGGCTCTCAATGTGCTGGCGTGCGTTTGGCCTTCCATGTGAGCTAGACCTCTGATACGCCGCCTCCCCGCTGGCTGTGCTCATGCAGCCAAGCAGTCGGGTTCGGCCCCTTCCACCGCCCCGGCCGAGTCCCCACCAGAGAGCGCCCCGATGGCGGCGCCCGCGCCAGCAGAGGCAGACCCCACCAGCTGACGTCAGCTGCTGACCAACTCTTGTGCACATGCCGGCATGGGGACGACACACACCTCCAGCGACTGACTTGGCCGACAGAGAATAAGATGCACCAAGCTGCTTTCGTTGCACATGCCTGTGAAGTGGTTGACTCTGACTGACCCACAGCGCCAGAGTAGTAGATAGCAGGCGGTCGATACGGGCAATGCATGAATGAAACAACAGTACGAGGCCGATGAGCTGAGGGGAGGGGTAGGCGCGTGAAGCAGGCACACGCGTGTTCAGAGGGGGTTCAGGGGGGGCGTTTGTTGTGAAGCAAGGAATGGTGCAAGGGGGCGCGTCTTCTCGTCGCCTCACTCCCTGGCCCTGTTGCAGCTCCCCGTGCGCCCATCTGCAGCAGCACCAACAACATCAACACTGTTTACAAATCATCTCCTGGCCAGTGCCCACGTCATGTCCTGCCTGCTGATCGCAAGCGCTGGCTCAGGTGGGGCCCAAGCACTACCGCCACCACGTGGCTCATTGCCGCCGACGACTCACACTCTGTGACCTGGTTCTGGAAGCCGCGCAGCTTGATGCACAGCGGCTGGCAGATCTCGGCGGTGGAGGCGGCATTGGGCCAGAGCTGCACGCGGGCGCGCCAGTCTGCGGGCCGGCAGGGAGGCGGGCAGGCGGGCTCATCACGTGCAGCGCTGGGGTTGGCAGCGCAGCGGCATTGCCGAGTGGCGTGTGGCTGCATCCAAGCAAGTACCGTGCCAGTCCCCTGCAAGTCTCACATCCGTCGGCGACGCCTGGCTTGCCGATGCATGCGCGGGCCACGGTGAAGGCCGCCACCCCGCAGTCTCCCTTGTACGCCCACTTGACCAGCGAGTTGACGATGGCCGTCATGTCTGCGTAGCCGCAGCTCTCCATCTGCTCCGCGTCGTGCATCAGGGTGAGGTTGGAGATGTCGGGTCCGCTGGCACCCGTCATGTCGTCCGCAGGGAGGTGCGCAGCAGGTGGGTAGAGGGCAGGCGGGTGCGGGGTAGGCGGGCGACAAGTGGGCATCATACAAGGCCGGCCTGTCATTGAAAGGACGGCTAATCGTGCCCCGCCCATCACTCACCATTACAGTACCACTCTCTACTGCCCTGCATCTCGCACGTCCCCTTCTTGCCCTCCGCCACGTCTTGGACGAAACCGGGGGCTGGCGGCGCGCCATTGGTCGTGCCGGGCGCAATGAAGGTGGGATCATATCCACTGGTGGCTGCCGGCGTGGTGGTATTGGCTGCCGCAGGGGCCGGCGATGCTGCTGTGGGTGGCTGAGTGGGCGGTGGTGGAGGATCGAAGCCTGCTGCTGCGGCTGGCACCGGCGGTGGTGGGAGGGTGGCGGCGGGTGGAGAGGGCACCGGGCCGGAGGCCAGGAATGGTGCGGGGGGCGGGCTGAGCTCCACGGTGCTGGCTTCGTGCACCTCTCCAGAGGTGGAGGAGGCTGGTAGGGAAGAGGATGTTGGTTGGGCGGCAGTGGGGATGGCAGGTGGGCTTGCAGATCCTTGAGAGGATGTGCTGTCCGAAGAGCTCTTGCCCCCTATTATTACTCCCGCGGTGATGCCTCCCGCCACCACGAGCAGCACCAGGCCCGCAGCAGCGTAAATGACCCACTCGCGGCCAGACTTCTCCGACTGCTTGTGCCAGGGAACGCCCATTTCTGGAGCGTGATCTCAATTAAAACGAATTAAAAAAGGCGCCCCGATGTATGTGCAGCACGATGTGCAGGGAGTTGTTGTAGAGGCTCAACGCGCGCCAAGTTGGCAGGTCTGGTCGGGGAAGAAGCTGTGCGGGGGCCAGGTGCCTTATGCTAAATTGCTTCACGCATCAACATACATGGGGAAGGCCAATGATGTGTTGCCCGCTGATGTGGCACCTCCCCCGATTCGTCTGGCTCATCAGGCACGCTCTCTCCCGCGATCCCTCCCTTTCCTTCGCCTTTCAGAGTCTCTAAGGCTTCTATTTCTCCCCTCCCGCACCCCGCAGCTGCCGCAAATTTAAAATTATGAACCAACCTGTCATCCTTTATGCCTTAGAACGGCGCCAAAACGGCGCCAAGAATGTGTTTCTCACTAAGTCAGATGTAGAGGGCATCATCCGGATCAAGCAGGGCGACCAGCAGGCGCCCTCAGGCCGGCGGCGGCGGGGTGCGGGAGGGGGGGCGGCAGTGCAGGGCGGCACCAAGAACTACAGCAAGAAGGTGCTGCAGTTCTTCCAGGTGCTGAAGGGCGCTGGCGGTCAGGACATCCTGTGCCGCTGCGTCAAGCGCAGCGGAGAGTGGCGGTGGTGCCCCGTGGTGCCGCTCGAGGAGCTGCCCCGAGTGATCAAGGAGCACCACGAGCGGGCGACTGGCTTCAGCGGTGTGGAGAAGCTGTACACACATGTGAGTGATACAAGGGGTGCAATGCTGCCGCCAGACCAACTGGAGAGTGCTCTG